CCCCAAAACCCCAAAACCCCAAAACCCCAAAACCCCACAAAAGGAATAAATTATAGAATTTACTAAACTTTAATTACAAGGTGTCTTAATAAGTCTTACGCCTTCGCCTCTTTTTCTTCTGTGGCTTAGGCGGATTCTTGAGTCTTTCTTCAATTTCTAGCTCTTCTTCCATTTTCTCAAGGCATTCTCTTCCTTCAATATAGTGAACAGAGTCTTCGTCGAGTATCGTGATTCTTTTATGCTCTTGAAGGTCTTGTTGTTTTGTTTCTATATCTAAAAGAGTCAATAAGACAACCAACTTCCTCTGAGCTTACCTTTGAGTTCTTCTTCAATCTGCTTATTAGCTCGTTCCTTCGTAGTCTTAATATGGTCTTCACGAGCTTTCATTACTTTCTTAGTAACTGCTGGGTCTCTTAGATATTTATTTATCCTGATTCCATTCTATATCCTTATGAATGTACAGCTCCTGGTCAAACTTCTTAAGTATGGATTTAATAGGCTGTGGCTTCTGGTTGGAGGGCATCAAGGATAAAGGTGTCCTATTTATAGACACACAAGCTCTAAAAATCTTAACTAAAGACTTACTGTTCGAAATTATCCTTGAAATCATTAAGATCTTTCTGTACAGGAGTGTAGTTGTTAGACATCCTCATGCGGTGAAGGATCTTGACTGAGGACTCGTCCTTCTCGTCTTCCTCCTTCTGCATCTCACTGACATAATCCGAGTACTTATTTGTAATAATCATTGAAATCAATTTGTTCTTCAGAGCTTCCTTCTTGGTCGACCTCTATAGAGCACTGGACTTCTATAAAGGAGTCATGAGACATTGACGATAAAGCTCTGCAGCCAAGTTTTGAAGTCTTATTTTAGGAGAGAAAAAATTGAAAATTACTCGAAGAGGATTGATTTTTAGGCTAAGATTAGGATTTTTGGTAAAATAGCAACTGGGGAGAGAGACTGGTCTTTTTCAAAGTGGTTATATCAGGTCTTTATCAGCAAGTAAAATTAACTCTTTTCTGCTCCTCAGAGGTAAGAGCTTTGTAAAATAAAGGTTTAAAAATTTATGGTAATAACTAACCTATTCAGTTGGCTTCTGGTGAAGGTGAAGTGCTTCCTTCCTCGTCTTCTTTTTGGTTCTGGTCTATCCTGTCTAAGACCTTCTTCTTAGGAGGAGCTAGTCTTCTGGACCTTCTAGGAATACGTAATTTTAGAGTTTGTCTAGATTTGAAGGTTTAGTGGTTTTGAGAATTTTGAAAAAATTCTTAATAATTTCATATTCCAAGAAAATTGATTAGAAAATTTCTCATGATTAAATTTAAGTTGAAATGTCAAGTCTTAAGGAATCTTACTTATCACTTTATAAAAAATACAAAAATACCTCCTTATCTAATGCTAGCTTAAATTCTCATAAACGTCTCAAAACTGTCCTGAAAATGTGTAAACACATCTAAGGAGCTGCAAATTTTCGAAGGGTCCTAAAAATATGAGAAACAAGCGAAGCCACTATGCTGAGCTTGCTCTAGGCTCAAATCCTGAGTATCGCTCACGCTTACCATTTTCCTTTGGCAAATCATTAGGATTTTTACTTTCTGGTGCTCTTAAATTCTTCAAATTAATTTTAGGGTCTGTTTCATGACTTGGCTTATTCGAAATTGGTCTAGAAAATAATTAGTATGATAGGTTAGGTTTAACTTACTCAGAAGGATTCAATGGCTTGTTTCAGTCAATGTCTAGCATCAGCATCTCTCCAGTTGCCCCTTTGACTTCGGTGATCAGATATTTAACTTTTGTGGTGAAAATTTTCTCCCAAATTTGATACAAAAATTCAATATTCTTGTCACGGCTCATGATGGTAAATGTAGGCAAAGGCATTTGAACAGAGGTGTCTAGCAGCCGAGTGAAATTTCTCCCACTATTTCCTCATGAGTCGACTTCCATATTCTCATTCTTCGAGCAGAGTTTGCAGGTCAATAACAGAAAATTAACCGATAAGTTTGCTTCTATTTCATCTATGCCATATTAAATGTCGGTTAAGTTATGAAATTACCTGAATCAGGGATACTTTCTATTGAGAAATCACCGGCTTCTTTTCAATGAATCTTTTGGTACTTATCTTCCCCTTGAAAATCTTTATTACAGCTTAAAATTCCCTTCTGGAACAGTTTGCTACAGATAAGGAATCCTTCCTTGGTTAAACAGTACTTTTGGGAACAAATCAGGGAGGTCTTGAAACTTGATAGTAAGAATTCCTTTAGTAGAGTTTCACCAATGTCTTGTAGCTGGATTTGGAACAGAAGGGATGTCATTTCATCATCTGGCTGCTCTTCCTGGGTCTATATTAAATATTAGCAATGCCTAGCATGTATTTAAGGCTTAGAATTTAAAATGAAATTCTAACATATGACTTTAGATTAGTCATAAATTTAGGTAAAATTGTCTGGAGAGTTTTAATCCTCCTAGTGAAACTTACCTCTTCTGATGACTCTCCTGGAGATGGGTTCTCATCTTCTCACTGGTTCATCTCCTCATCTTGGCTAGAGTTCTCCCTTCTGGGTATATTTTCAAGGTCCAAGGAGATATTGAATTGGGTTTTGAATGATTCACAAATAGCTCCTAGTTCTTCATGGTTTCTGGCTGCAAACATGTATAGAGATCCGATTGGATCTTTCCTTTCAGTCTTGCTTTCATTCGTCTAAACCTAAGAATTCATGACTTACTGCAAGAGTGAACTTCTTAGCTAGGAAATAAGTTATAGCACCATCATTATTTTTATATCCGTTTAGCTTATTTAGTGCTTCACTTGAAAAATTCGAACCATCTAAGTTCTGGGCTTCCTATAAAGACTTGTTAGGGTATTTTCGTTGTAAATTTACAAAACTTGCTAACAGATATAAGACAAGCTCTTACCATGTGGAAGGGGCTAGGTTTCTCCTGTACTTTATGCCTTCTCTCATTGTAAGAATCATTAAATTTTCTTAACATATCAATCTCGTAGTTTGGAGAACTTACTATTTGGATCTTGTCTTGTATAGTAAGCCCCATTGGCCAAGAATATTTTTCTAATTTTTTATAATCACAGTGTTGCGAGCAGAACTCTTTGGACATAAAAGCACTAGCTTGAGACTTTTTCATTGATAAAATAGCAAAGAAACCTGTCGTTTTAGGATGATAGTACTTCACCCTGCACTTATATTCCATTTTTTAAATTATTAATTATAATTTAGGAATAATTTTTCAAATGAATCGTTAAAACTCGGGGTTTTGGGGTTTTGGGGTTTTGGGGTTTTGGGGTTTTGGGGTTTTGGGG